GGGCTATGAGACCGGACTATCTGATTAGAATTTATCGTTAGTCAGCAGAGGTTTGTTTCAGGAAACCCCATGTATTTGAATGGACCGGACAGAATTACTCCATGTAAAATAGCTTATCGGCCTAAATTATCCTTCGGGACAGTTTGGAGCTCCCTGCCTCCTTCTGAATACCGCTCGAAAACGGAGAGGAATTATTTTAGGAAATTTTTACATCAGCGGATAGAAAACTGTTAGTTCTACCTTCATATTGAATAGCACGCTTATCTGATTAAAAACGACTTAGAAATACGCAAAATACTAACGAGGAAAGGTCCCCAAGTGTGCAATCGCTTTTTCTTCGAAATTTAGTGGACAAGAGGTAATCGACTATGCTGAATCCGAATATGACATCCGTTTGGGTTCTTAGGCTTCCAGAGATCGGATTTCTACAAAACCAGTTTTTCAGAAACTCTGAAAAATAGCAAAACCATTTCTAAATAAAGCATGATTGTAGCCCGCAAATTTCTAATTGAAATAAGATATCTCCCAGCTGTGCATGACCTTTCTTTGCAAAGTTATAGAATTTACAAGAAAAGCCCTAAATTAATTTCTTATTTCTGTTGCTTTGAGCTGACAGTAAATAATTCAACCGAGATTTTTACGGAAAAGTTCGAAAAAAATGAAAGTTGCCCAAAAATTCTGAGATACACATCAATCAAGTCAGTTTGTGATGCTGATTCCAAATATGACATTGATTTTGCAAAAGAAATGAAAATTTGACAGTGAAAACTGCAGAATATAAGTGAATTTTCTTGTTTTTTATTACCTGTTTCAAGAAAATTAATTTTCTCAACAATGGAACAATATTTTCCAAAACCGATACTAACTTTTTTTCCCACTAGTGTGATGACTGAAATAAAGAAAAAAAAACTTGCCTAACTGCTAGCCAAAAAAACTAGATAGACTTACAAGAAGTTCGGGTGAGGTTTCAGCTGTTCTGCCAGGCCTTCAACGATTTCAATCGGTCAATCAGGTTCTAAAAGTATCTGAATTACTTTTTATATTCAATTTTGTATGTAAAATCAGAAAAATAGTACCAAGATTTTAAAAAGACAATAAACCCTCAAATTTTGCTTCTTTTTGAAAATTTTGCTGAATTTTGCCCATTTTTAAAAAATCAATATTTCAAAATCTTTTAAATGAAAAAAGACCTTCAAAAATTCACTTTTCAGTTTTTTCTAGGTAACTCAATGAGCTCGATCTGATGATCAAAAAAACTTTTGCTTTATCTTTTGAATTTTTTAATTGAATCTACCTCGTTTCGAAGAGAAGATGCATTTTTTTGATGTATTCCCATTTCGTCGTTTCACTAACTTTTCTCCTGACTCGTCGACAACATTTTGGGAGGAAATGATACTGCGGTGTTTTCCATGGAGTTTTTGAGACATATAATACAAAAATATATTTCCAAAACGAAAAGTATTTGCTATTGGTAATAGTTTTTAATCCTGATCCTATATCAGTGACACTCGCTAAATTGATAAATGATCAAAAATAAACTGTGGGTGTTTGAAATTTATTGTCGGTACACGATACGTGAGAACAGAATCTAACCTATAAGCTAAATTTTTCGATGCCATGCTAATTGTCCACGAATGCTGTACGGAATTTGCTGTCACAAATTCACCTCCGAGACCTGGAATAGAAAAATGACAATGATTCATTTTGGACAGATTTTCTGGCTCTTCTCTCTTACCTAATTCGACTGAAAGCGACTTCTTCATGATTTTTTTCTAGTAAATATGATTGACAATCGTAAGTCTTATGTTTTAAAAGTATTTTGTCGTCTTGAACAATTTTGTTTTCTTTCTCTGTCATTTAGCTTTTATTAATGTCGAACCGCTTGCCGAAACTCAATGGTCTTATGTGATCGCAACATTGGTCCCGTTACTTTACGAACTTTTCATAGTAAAAGATTATCGCTGTGATGAATTTGATGCACTTGTTTCCGCAAAGCATAATGATGATATCACTCGATACACGCAGATTCTGCTCTATTTAGATTGTTGGTATCAATCTATTTCTGCCTATTATGTAGCTTCTGTTATTCGAGCTCGTGCTCGGCATGCTACAACATTGGCACCAGTGAAAGGTATCGAATCTTCGTTTTGTCTTTCGTTGAGAAAACATAGTTGGATACCAGTTGCCAGCGGACAATTATTCAAACCGACCGATGTCTACTTTTTACCGTTGAAAAATCCATTCTATCGCTATGTACCTCATTTGGATCGATCGATATCGTCGAGGCATACAAATTTTATTAATTTACTTATATTTAAACAAGAAATAGCTTCAATGACTATATACGGAATTCCATAAATAAGAAGATCACGTCTCTTCCTATGCTCCAGTTTATTCAAATCATTTTGTATCAGCCTTAATTCATCTTTTGTATGTTTTAATTTATTAGTCAATTGTTTAATTCGTTCATCTTGTCGTTGACATGCTTCATTTACTATTGCTTCAATCGATTGCACGAAAACATCATATGTTGATAAGGATTTAAAAGTATCTTTGATTAACTGAGTTAAGCTAATGTTATCCATTGCTGTGTTCAGTGTCGTTTTCAACTATTTTGACTTTTTTAATAAGGACGAATTTATAGGCGAAGGCGGACTATGACGAATAATATGCTGCATAGTCTATAACTCTGTGACAGTATGAAGAAACTCTAAAGAATAAAACTTGTCACCATGAAAAGAAAAGTAAGAACATATGGGACATTTTTGGTCCCGGTACCATCTCCATTTGAAAGACAACC